CGGTGCGATCTCACCGACCCCGGTGCGTAAATCGTATTATTTTTTTTTTCTCGTTTTTTTTATCGCACCCCGGTGCCATCTCTCCGACTCTTACGGTAGCCTCAGTCGAAAGGGATGTGGTGAAGTATTTTCAGTTCAGTAAGTGGATTGAAACAGACTGGAGACTGGGCCTATTTTGGGTTTGCGTAAGCCTTACACTGAGTTATCAGTGATGCCAGTTGGTGCTATGAACAAAAGCATCTGTATAGGCGAATACATTCTTAACACATCCCTTGTAGTTTTCTACGGGGTCGACGACAGAACTATCGTGGAGAAGCTCTCCGTTATGTCGTGTGTTATGTAAGAATGTGGCCTTCACAGGGAACATGGCGCAGTGTCGTTTTTAGAAAGCACTTCGCTGCTGTTTTTAGACGATTTGAATCAAGACTACAGTATGTACAGCGTAGGACTGTTGTACACCTATCACTGATATTGTTTTTTATTCCGCCGAATTTGGTTTGCACCTGCAAGGGAGGCCCTTTCGACCGAAGTCGTGCGGCTCGTGTGTGCGCCTGTGATCTTACAACAGCAGCTACTGCTGTTTGCAGCACTCTAATTGCTGTTTGCGGCATGCTTTCTTCGGTTAGTGCTGAATTGGCGACTGTGTTGTAAGCACTTCTTCTTAGCATCATTCAAGCTACAGCAGTGGTAGACACTCCGTGACACAATTTGGTGTCGAAGCACAAGAAATATCTGCAGCTGCCTGGTGACCTTTGGTTCAACCGAACACGTTCATGTGTACAGCACATGTAGCATGCGATTATCATGGCGCAGCAGCAGGTTCGAGTAGCAGGCGCAAGAGCCTTTTCGTGGAGAAATGACTAGTTTTATCACGGTGATATATGCACACTGGATATAGCTTGGCGTTTCCCTTTTGCGTGTTTACCGACGAACTATGCATATTGCGCCCATCTCTGTACAAAAAATTGGCTGTCCGCGTGCGGTGTCTCGTTCATGCTCAGCAATAGGCCGGTGTCCGCGACAGTAAACAGCGGCGGGGATGCAACGTGCTCCCACCAGTGGAGGCCAAGCGGGCCTTGTGGCAGCGGTGGAGCCCACTGCGGCAGAGGTGCGTGCTATCTTCTCACAAAAGACACACGTTCCAAGATTTCATCATCGTTTATGTAGACATATATGTCCAATCACCATCCTCGCTCTCATAAACCTGGTTCATTTTCATGCTTGAGTTTCCACCCTCCCTCGCTCCCTCCCTTCCTCCCTTTCCTCTCCCCTTCGCAGCGGCTTGACCATGTCGGCAAGCTTCTCGCCGAAAAGAAGCCCTGGCCCGCCTTTCTGCACATCGGAGCTCGAGCAACGGAAGAGTGGGAGGCTTGCCCCACCCCTGTACAGGAGGCTCTTGTATGGATGGCGAGAGCCACGGTTGGGGTGCTCGACATTGCGAGCGTTGGGCCCTTAGAGCCTGTTTGCCAGGCATTCAAGGGGTTGATCGAGGCTGCCGAAGGTGCAGCGGAGTCCCAGGACAAGCTCAAGGGGCTGATATCCCGGTGCGCTTTCCTCACCACCGTCTTGATTCAGCACGACCGAGCAGTTGGTCCGCTCGCCCAGGTGCAGAAGCCCATGAAAGACTTCGTCGCCACGACCAACGATCTGGCGGCCTTTGCGGCGACATGGGCCAAGGGCGGCAAGTGCAGGGCGCTTTTTTGCCACCGCAGCGACCGGAGCACTCTCACCGACTTCGAGGAGGGTCTGCGCACCATCAGCAACGACATCGCCTTGGTGGACGGGCTGGAACATCACCAGCTCTTGTTGGCCGTGTATCGCCAGTTGCGCCCTCCAACGCTGCCGGCTATGGCCTCGGTACCTGCAGGGCCGATCTCCCTGACCGATGGCCACATTTCACGGCCTTCGTTGCTCGGGAGAGCCATTGGCTACCTCACGAACACGGCTGTGGGCGACGCGCCCTGTGTGCTGACCGGCATGGCGGGAGCGGGAAAGTCTGTCCTGGCGTCCGCAGTTGTACGAGATGAGAAGGTCCGCGAGCACTTTCATGCGGGGATGTTTTGGGTGAGGGCGCGTGACGCGAAGGATCAACTCCACGCGTGCTTGGAAGGGTTTGCGTTGCGAGTAGCGTCAACGTCAGGGACTACTTCCCCCGGGCTTGGCAGCGTGGAAGAAGTGACGCGTTACCTGAAAGCGGTTTGTGCCGACTCTGTGTCACCGCGCTTGGTCGTGCTGGATGACGTGTGGGAGCGGGAGATCGTTGACGCGCTGAAGCTGACGGGGCTGCAGCTGCTTGTAACCACACGCGACCGTTCGGTGGTGTCGATGCCGGGAGAGTGCGTTGAGGTGGGGGATATGGAGGAGGACGAGGCCCTGGAGGTACTGAGAGTCGGTTGCGGGGCATCCAAGAACCTGGAGTTACCGCGTGCTGAGGCGTTGCAGGTGACCGTCTCGACAATCGAAATCAAATTTCTTATGGCGGACAGATTTGCGTTGCGCCAGCTGATATCGCACCTGTGCTACGTTCCTTGAAACAGTCTTTAGTAGCAGGACGGTAGTTCTGGCCCTATTGGTATTCGGGTCCCTGGTGCTTGGGTTGTTAAATAGACGGCGCTCTATAGGTAGTGCGGTCGTTCTCGGCCTTCTTGGTTCAGCTTCGAACTCGTCCGCCCCTTCGCCTCAGGTTGTGGGTGACTGCGGGAACCTTCCACTCTCGCTTGGCCTCGCCGCACCGCTTCTCAAGGGTCCCCCACAAGATCCCAAGTCTTGGCGAACTTTGCACGAGGCTTTGAGCAAAGCGATGTCGACAAGACTGGGGACCGACCGCATCATGGCCGTACCGAAGCGAGTAGATGCTGTCTTGGAAGTGAGCTTGGGCGCCATGGCAGACGACCCAGCGAAGCAGCAAAGATGCCTGTTCCTTGCGGTACTCGCCCCGGGTACACTGGCGCCATCTGACATGCTGGAAGATTTGTGGGACGAGGTGCGGTGGGAGGTGTTCGTGGAGCAAGGGGAGTAGTGAACCCCCGTGCGGGAGCTATCTTGTACCCACCTTTTTTGTTTTGTTGATACTGTACATTGGTGCCCTAGCGGGCACATGCCTGTCGTGGTTCAACGTACGGAGAGCGTGTACAGGTGATTTGTTGATATGAAGTTTTTTCCCTCCACTTGTGTTTTATTTTATTTTTTGTCGTATATGTTGTATGTCATTCGTGAAACCTATTCCCTCGAATCATGGTCGCCAACAGGGACAGTGGAGTGTGGTCTTAGAATGGCTTGCCTCGCGATTGTTTTTTTCTTCTAACTGAAGCCCTGCTTCTCTGATGCTGTTCTTCCCTTCCTCTGCTACGCGGCCTCCGCCAGGCTCCTGGAGCTACCAAAACGTTCGCTGCACAGCTCGTGGATCAGTCCATGCTCCAGCCTGCAGGAGATGCTTTTCGCGTTCACGATCTTGTCTTGCTGTTCCTCAAGCCCAAGCTCAAAGCCGATCCCAACCGGCCCATCGCCACCTCCCGTTTCGCGGAGTATCTGGGGCAGCTGAAGGTTCTGCGAAGATACCTGGGCGATGGGGAAACGAGTGATGGTGTGTATGCCTTGATGGCCCTTTGGAGGTCGGTGGAGGACCTCGTGGGGGAGAGCCGAGTCGCAGCTGTGTACATGAACAACCTACAAGGGGTACCGGAGCATGCACCGTGGCGACAGGCTGGCCGTGTTTTGGAGCTCATGGTGAGGCGCCGTAGTGAGCTTCTCAGGGGAAATACCGCCACGGTTTCGTGTTGGACGATGCTCTACAATTGATGTAGCAGTTGATGAAGACTGCGGTGTTTATTGGTTTTGTGCTGCAACCACACTCTTGATGTGCCCGCTAGCGCATCCCGGACTGTGGTCGTGACACGAGGGTTATCCTGTGATTTGACGCACGATAGCGCATGACCCCACCACCAATGTCTTGGATTTCTGTTGTGAGCTATTGGAACGGGTGTGGTAATCCCATGCAGCTTGAACAGAGTGCAGAGCGTGCTGCCCCCAAGCACTCGACCTTCACAAACGCTGCTGACGACAACAACGTGCTTAGGTGATGGCGAGGGTTCATTTTACGAAAGGAGAACCAACCGCGGCGCAGTAGAGCGTACGCGATCATAAGCATGTGTGCGAAGTACGGAACGCTACCATCTTATAAAAATATTCGCAAAGCAAGAAGGGATACGTGACGTTGCAGGCTATTCTCATCATACTTGAGGCAGCCTGTTACGTGCTTAATTTTACGCACTGTGCAGTTGTATGCATAAGGGAAATCAATCTCCAGGCCGAGCATCTGTTCGAAAGGCTGCCAACCCAATTTGTGCGAATTCATTGGGTCCTCAGAAGCCAGCCGGGCACGCCAGACTACCATGTTGTTGTGTTTTCCACTCACCTTTTCCCTCACATTTCAGGACAATCATGTAGAAGCAGACCCTCTGCGCGCTCGTACCGTTGACATTCTTGGTTCAGCCTTGGGCGAAGAACTTCCCGACGATGCTTTAGTGCTCACCAACCAGATGTTGAATATTCGTAGGGTTCAAATTGCTTTGTTAAACTTTTCGATTTTTGGTGCATCGCTGGCTGACCGAACCCACTTTATGTTGCAAGTACGACGACGCCGAGCTACTCAATGAACGTATCTCAAGTCAATCCAACAGGAGGCGCTGGGTCCGGAGCGATCCCGATGTGACCCTGTCGGGGGGGAGGATTGTTGCGCCATTGTTCCTCGGCATTGTGCTGACGAAGCCTTGGTGTCCACCTTTCCGTTATTCCTCCTCCCCTGCCAGGGGAAGTATGCTGAGGCAGACCCTCTGTACCTTCGAGCTATTGAGATCGGAGAGAATACGCTGGGTCCTGACCACCCAGCTCTTGCCACACAGCTCAACAACAGGGCGGGGTTGTTGGGGAGTCAGGTGAGAACCAAACGATTCTTCTAGATGCTTCCAGAAGTGAATGTTCCTCCGCAGTGCTAGAGCCGACTTGTACACAAATACGACCCTGCCACGCTGTCAACTGTATTCCAGGGGAAGTATAAGGAAGCTGAGCCACTTTTCAAACGCTCGTTGGCTATCGTCGAGAAGGTTTCGGTCCTGACCACCCTGAACTCGCTACAGACCCCAACCTGGGCGGGGTTGTTGATGAGCCAGATGAAAGTCAAACGGTATTCTAGAAGCTTCAAGCAGATCATGTTCCTCCGCAGTTCTAGAGCCGACTTGTGCTGAAACACGACCCTGCCACGCCGTGGACTGTATTCCAGGGCAAGTATGACGAGGCTGAGCCTCTGTACAGGCGCTCGCTGGCTATCGACGAGAAAGTTTACGGTCCTGACCACCCTGCGGTCGCTACAGACCTCAACAACTGGGCGTGGTTGTTGAGCAATTGTTAGTCCGTTGTCAATCCCCACTAGCATTGACCACACTTCTGACATGCTTGCCCTTCACGCCTCAGGGTAAGTTCGCCGAGGCCGAGCCTCTGTACAGGCGGGCGACCGAGATTTGGGAGACAGCGTTGGGTCCTGAGCACCCTGTTGTGGCCACAGCGCTCAACAACCGGGCGGGGTTGTTGGAGGCGCAGGTGAGAGCCATCAGAAAATTCCAGGAAGTTTCTTGTGGTACCCGATAGATTCCGGGAGTGCTCAATAACACAGCGATGACCACACCTTCCTCCCTCTTTTCCCTTATATCTCAGGGAAAGTATGACGACGCGGAACCGTTGTACGTAAGAGCTATCGCTATCGGAGAGAAGGCGTTGGGCCCAGAGCATCCAGATGTTGCCGTGTGGCTCAACAACCGGGCGGGGTTGTTGCAGGCTCAGGTAAGAGTCAAACGACGCTTCTAGATGGTTCTAGAAAATAATGTTCATCCGCAGTTCTAGATCCCACTTGCACCAAAATCCCATTTACGAATTTCTCACTGAAATACGACTCCACCACGCTGTCCTCACTGCATCCAGGGCAAATACTCGGAAGCTGAGGCACTCTATGAGCGGTGTCAGGCGATAGAGGAGAAGGCTCTAGGCCCTGAGCACCCAAGTCTAGCCACAACGCTCAACAACCGGGCGGGGTTGTTGGAGAGTCAGGTGAGAGCCAAACGACGCTTCTAGATGGTTCTAGAAAATAATGTTCATCCGCAGTTCTAGATCCCACTTGCACCAAAACCCCATTTACGAATTTCTCACTGAAATATGACTCCACCACGCTGTCCTCACTGCATCCAGGGCAAATACTCGGAAGCTGAGCCACTCTATGAGCGGTGTCAGGCGATAAAGGAGAAGGCTCTAGGCCCTGAGCACCCAAGTCTAGCCACAACGCTCAACAACCGGGCGTAGTTGTTGAGCGATTGTTCCTCCGCATTACACTCCATTCATAGTTTTGACAAAGTTGCCCCCGTCGTGTTTTTCCCTCGTACTTCAGGGCAAGTACGACGAAGCCGACCCTCTCTATCTGCGAGCTATTGAGATTGGGGAGAAGACGCTAGGCCCTGACCACCCAGATCTTGCCACGAGACTCAACAACCGGGCGGGGTTGTTGGAGGCGCAGGTGAGAGCCATCAGAAAATTCCAGGAAGTTTCTTGTGGTACCCGATAGATTCCGGGAGTGCTCAATAACACAGCGATGACCACACCTTCCTCCCTCTTTTCCCTTATATCTCAGGGAAAGTATGACGACGCGGAACCGTTGTACGTAAGAGCTATCGCTATCGGAGAGAAGGCGTTGGGCCCAGAGCATCCAGATGTTGCCGTGTGGCTCAACAACCGGGCGGGGTTGTTGAGAGCGCAGGTGAGAGACTTCAGCAATTCCAGGAAGTTTCTTGTGGTACCCAATAGATTTCGGGAGTGCTCAACAACAGAGCAGGTGAGAGCCATCAGCAAATTCCAGGAAGTTTCTTGTGGCACCCGATAGATTTCGGAAGTGCTCAACAACAGGGAGTTGTTGAGAGCGCAGGTGAGAGCCATCAGCAAATTCCAGGAAGTTTCTTGTGGCATCCGATAGATTTCGGAAGTGCTCAACAACAGGGAGTTGTTGAGAGCGCAGGTGAGAACCATCAGAAAATTCCAGGACATTTCTTGACCACACCTTCCTCCCTCTTTTCCCTTATATCTCAGGGAAAGTATGACGACGCGGAACCGTTGTACGTAAGAGCTATCGCTATCGGAGAGAAGGCGTTGGGCCCAGAGCATCCAGATGTTGCCGCGTGGCTCAACAACCGGGCGCGGTTGTTGGAGCGGCAGGTGAGAGCGAAGCGATTCTTCTAGATGCTTCTAGAAGAACATATTCCTCCGCAAGTTTTTGATGTCCTCTTGACTGAAGTCCCACTCTCTACCGCGCTGTTTACCACATATCATATGGTACGTACGCTGGGACCGAACTACGTAGTTTATGAACCGTCTAAGCGATACCAGGACACGTTCTGGGCCTGGATCACCAGGATCTCCCCCAGGCATTTGTTCTCTCGTACATTCATCGTCACCAAACGAACTTCTCTCTTTCCCATCCCGTTACATTCCAGGGCAAGTATGAAGAGGCTGAGCCTCTGTACAGGCGATCGCTGGCTATCGACGAGAAAGTTCACGGTCTTGACCACCCGAAAGTCGCTACAGACCTCAACAACTGGGCGGTGTTGTTGGACAGTCAGGTGAGAGCCAAACGACGCTTCTAGATGGTTCTAGAAAATAATGTTCATCCGCAGTTCTAGATCCCACTTGCACCAAAACGCGACCCTGTCACGCTGTCGACTGTACTTCAGGGGAAGTATGAGGAAGCCGAGCCGCTATATGAGCGGTCACAAGCCATACGAGAGAAGGTCCTGGGTCCGGAACACCCTGCCGTCGCAACGGTGCTCAACAACCGGGCGGGGTTGTTGGAGAGTCAGGTGAGAGCCAAACGACGCTTCTAGATGGTTCTAGAAAATAATGTTCATCCGCAGTTCTAGATCCCACTTGCACCAAAACCCCATTTACGAATTTCTCACTGAAATATGACTCCACCACGCTGTCCTCACTGCATCCAGGGCAAATACTCGGAAGCTGAGCCACTCTATGAGCGGTGTCAGGCGATAGAGGAGAAGGCTCTAGGCCCTGAGCACCCAAGTCTAGCCACAACGCTCAACAACCGGGCGGGGTTGTTGGAGAGTCAGGTAAGAGCCAAACGACGCTTCTAGATGGTTCTTGAAAAGAATGTTCATCCGCAGTTCTAGATCCCACTTGCACCAAAATCCCATTTACGATTTCTCACTGAAATACGACGCCACCACGCTGTCCTCACTCCGTCCAGGGCAAATACTCGGAAGCTGAGTCACTCTATGAGCGGTGTCAGGCGATAAACGAGAAGGCTCTAGGCCCTGAGCACCCAAGTCTGGCCACAACGTTCAACAACCGGGCGGAGTTGTTGAGAGCGCAGGTGAGAGCCATCAGAAAATTCCAGGAAGTTTCTTGTGGTACCCGATAGATTTCGGAAGTGCTCAACAACAGGGCGGGGTTGTTGCAGGCTCAGGTAAGAGTCAAACGACGCTTCTAGATGGTTCTAGAAAATAATGTTCATCCGCAGTTCTAGATCCCACTTGCACCAAAATCCCATTTACGAATTTCTCACTGAAATACGACTCCACCACGCTGTCCTCACTGCATCCAGGGCAAATACTCGGAAGCTGAGGCACTCTATGAGCGGTGTCAGGCGATAGAGGAGAAGGCTCTAGGCCCTGAGCACCCAAGTCTAGCCACAACGCTCAACAACCGGGCGGGGTTGTTGAGCAATTGTTAGTCCGTTGTCAATCCCAGCTAGCACTGACCACACTTCTGACATGCTTGCCCTTCACGTCTCAGGGTAAGTTCGTCGAGGCTGAGCCTCTGTACAGGCGGGCGACTGAGATTTGGGAGACAGCGTTGGGTCCTGAGCACCCGAACGTGGCCACAGCGCTCAACAACCGGGCGGGGTTGTTGGAGAGCCAGGTGAGAGCCGTGAGAATTTTACAAGATTTTTCGTAGGTTTCAGACTTGTTTTGAGAGTTTTGTTCTCTCTCGCCCAGTCGCTTACACCACCCCACTGCTTCCTACACAGGGCAAGTACGACGAAGCCGACCCTCTCTATCTGCGAGCTATTGAGATTGGGGAGAAGACGCTAGGCCCTGACCACCCAGCTCTTGCCACGAGACTCAACAACAGGGCGGGGTTGTTGAAGTGTCAGGTGAGAGCCATTAGAAGTTTCTTGTGGTACCCGATAGATTTCGGGAGCGCTCAACAACAGGGGGTTGTTGAGCAATTGTTAGTCCGTTGTCAATCCCCACTAGCATTGACCACACTTCTGACATGCTTGCCCTTCACGCCTCAGGGTAAGTTCGCCGAGGCCGAGCCTCTGTACAGGCGGGCGACCGAGATTTGGCAGACAGCGTTAGGTCCAGAGCACCCAAGTCTAGCCACAACGCTCAACAACCGGGCGGGGTTGTTGAAGAGACAGGTGAGAGCCAAATATTGCTTCTAGATTCTCTTCTAGAAGGTAGTGTTACTCCGCAGTTCTAGATCCCACTTGTGCTAAAACAAGACCCACGCTGTCGACGCCATTCCAGGGGAAATATGAGGAGGCCGAGCCGCTGTATGAGCGGTCACAGGCAATACGGGAGACGGTGCTAGGTCCAGAGCATCCTGATGTGGCCCAGTCGCTCAACAACCGGGCGGGGTTGTTGAGCATTTGTTCCCCGCATTCAACTCCAATAGGTTTGACAACACTTGCCCACGTCTTGTTTTTGCCTGGTACTTCAGGGCAAGTACGCCGAAGCGGAGCCACTCTATGCGCGGTGTCAGGCGATCGACGAGAAGGTTCTAGGCCCTGAGCACCCTGATGTGGCCACAACGCTCAACAACCGGGCGGGGTTGTTGATAGCGCAGGTGAGAGCCATCAGAAAATTCCAGGAAGTTTCTTGTGATACCCGATATATTTCGGGAGTGCTCAACAACAGGCGCGGTTGTTGAGAGCGCAGGTGAGAGCCATCAGAAAATTCCAGGAAGTTTCTTGTGATACCCGATAGATTTCGGGAGTGCTCAACAACAGGGGCGGAGTTGATGAGAGAGCGGGTGAGAGCCATCAGAAAATTCCAGGACGTTTCTTGTGGTACCCGATAGATTTCGGGAGTGCTCAACAACCGGGCGGAGTTGTTGAGAGCGCAGGTGAGAGCCATCAGAAACTTCCAGGAAGTGTGGTACCCGATAGATTTCGGGAGTTCTCAACAACCGGGGCGGGGTTGTTGGAGAGTCAGGTGAGAGCCATCAGGAACGTCCAGGAAGTTTCTTGTGGTACCCGATAGATTTCGGGAGTGCTCAACAACCGGGCGGGGTTGTTGGAAGCGCAGGTGAGAGCCATGAAGAAAATTCCAGGAAATTTCTTGTGGTACACGATGGATTGTGGGGGTGCGCAACAACGGGGAGCGCAGGTTAGAGGCGTCAATTTTTCCAAGAACTTTCTTGTGGTTTTCTTTGGACGTTGTACGTAGTGCTAACCGTGTGGGGTTGTTGGGCGTTCGTTCCTCCGCAGTGTACTTTTATCTCCTTCACCACACTCGCGTGACGCTGTATTTCCGTTTCCAGGGAAAATATTCTGAGGCAGACCCTTTGTACCTTCGAGCCATTGAGATTGGAGAGCAAACGTTGGGTCCTGACCACCCAGCTCTTGCCACATGCCTCAACAATCGGGCGCGCGTTGTTTTTGAGCCAGATGAAAGTCATACGAAGTTCTAGAAGTTTTCAGCAGAGAATGTTCCTCCGCAGTTCAAGACCCGACTTGTGCTGAAACACGACCCTACCACGCCGTCGACTGTATTCCAGGGGAGGTTTGAGGAAGCCGAGCCGCTGTATGAGCGGTCACAGGTGATGTTGGAAAAGGCCTTTGGTTTGGATCACCCGAATGTGGCCACGGTGCTCCGCAACCGGGCGGGGATGTTGATAGCCCAGGTGAGAACCAAAATAGCTTTCCGGGATTGTTTTGTGGCGTCCTCAGGACGGTTTTGGACAAGAAGGTTAGACGCTTCGTTGTCTTCCCGTGAATTGGCTGAAGTCAGCGGGCTTGCGGATCGAACGGTGACATCAGTTGCCAATGGCTTGGACGAAACTAGCATGATGCCGGCAGTTGTTCATGTTGAATCCCTCCCGTTTCGTATGTATTGTGTGGTAGTTTGGCCGGACAATTTTCCCCCCACCACTGCTTGTGTGTACCACGTGGTGAGCGAATCGGTGTTGTTACCCCAGTCTTCGTAAAACCATTTGCACACCCAATTTGGTTCTCAACCCTGCGTCTCGATCTCAATCGTCCGCAGGAGAAGCACACGGAGGCACTTCCACTATTGGAGAGGGCCCTCAGGATCCGTACCAAGAAGCTTGGTGAGCACCACCCGGGCACGGTTGGGACTCGGAACCGCCTGGAATTTGTGCAAGAGAAGGTTCGTGCACACTTGGGGCCGTCTTGTAGGCAAGCCTTATGCACGACGATCGCGCAAAGGCCTGGCACTACAATACAACTGAGAATGCTATGTGTACTTCGTGTGTTGCAGGTGTGAGGACGAGGTGGAAGAAACTGGCTGCGACAGCAGTCACTGTCGACGCGAAGAAGAAGACAGGGGAGAAGCTCGCGTTGGCAAATTGCGTCAAGTGTAACCTGGCGTTACATATCTGGCTCACGTTCACGGCGACTGGTTATGGTGTAGAACATTTCTTGCAACGCTCGTTGTTGTTTTCGATGATGACCCGTCAAGGGTTCTTACTGGCTACTCTTATTGCGAGAGGCGCTTGTTTTGCGCTGTACTCTTGGGCGTGACAATGCTCTCAATTATTTTTGTATTTTTGTCGTACATACACTGTAGGGACCATCCTCCCTTCCGAGGGCAATGTGTCTCGTAGTCACGAGGCAAGGTGGTGAGAACACAACCACGCGTAAGATATGAGGTATCTCCAAATGTACATTTCGCCTTCCTCAAAGAGCAAGGCTGGACGGAGGAGAGCATTATACGGTATTATATAGAAGTACTTGGGGTTCCAGGAGAAGAAGTCCCCGCAGGACGGGTCGGAAGTCCCCGCGGGACGGGTTGGCGTATCTCGTGGAGCACGAAGCGTTGGTGGCGCGCGAGGCCTCCAATGGATCCAATGGAGAGGTGAGGAACCGAGCATGAGGTTGGAGGTAGTCCTTCTTGCTCCTCATTTAGTTGCTGTCGCGAGCGTGTCATGTCCAAGAATGATGGAACATTGTGACTCGCGTGGTTCTGCTTCTGATATCATTGCCAGGTTAGTGTCAAGTTCGCCGGTATCATGCCCAGGTGCTGCACGTTGTATCAATCGTGGTATAGATTTTTTTGTGTTCGACGTCCCCATGTGTTGCACTATGCCATGCAAGAGGTGGCCGTGAAGATTGTCACCATCGGAAAGGCCATCAACTTCTTGAGGCACCTGTGCGGGAACTCGGAGTGGATCACGGGGCCCATGGCCAAGGCGAGTTCGCTGGCGCTGCTGGTGATGCTTTCGTGTGGGTGTCTCTGTCTGTTGGTGGTGTCTGTCTCGAGGCTACGGGTGCGGCTGTCAGCAAGGGATGATGGCTGCTGGTGGAGGCTGTAGTGGGCATGCACATGCACATGCACTGCATGTTGCTCCGGTTCTTGTACGATCTTGACCGGGCCGTTTGATTGAGCGAGTCAAAGCTTTGAAGGCGTTTTGGTTGATGCTGCGGCCTAGTTTGATGCTGGTTGGACGCATCTATGTAAGATGTCACTTTGCTGCGCTTGTGTACATGTACATGTGAAGTGGTTTTCCACTCAATTGCTTGCCTTTGCGAACCCCAATTGCATCTCCATAAATGAACAGCGATCATGGGTACACCAGTATTTCCTGCTAGGTGTTCATCTGGCCTCTTCACCGCAAAGGTTTTTCTTTTTATTCAGAGTACATGCCAGGAAAGAAGCTGCATGTTTAGTTTCCGGGCCAGTCGAATCAAGGATCATGTGAGTCCAACGCATGGAGATATAGCGATCGATCACTTTCCACCACTTTCCTATCCGCCCGGCGTTCAGCAACTTCTAGAGCATCTCCATCAGCCCTCTCACACCTCTCACATGTCTAACCAAGAGCCTCCACAAATCTCCGAAATCTCCGAACGCAGGCAGCGGCCCAGGCCACAACGCTGGAATACGGGAACACGACATCCCCCACGGCTGTGGTGGAGTCTTGCTCCGCCTTGACCGACGCCAGGCTCGTGCACCTCATGCTCGGGCCCTACCGGCTAAAGTCGCACCTTCGAGTCCTCAAGAAGTTCCTGCTCCACGGACAGGTGAGATTCACTGACCAACGTGCGGTAGCGGACAGGGACACATGCCACCTCAACACATGTGTGCGATCGTTTCGTTATGGCTAGAAGGATGGATGGAGCCGTCCCTTTCCCGTGCCGACCGTAAAGTCGACTGTTGAGGTCCCGCGAAGTAGGCGTTCTCCGTTCGTGGCTGTATGTTTGTTTTGAACATATCCCAGGTCTAGTGGCGCCGCCGAGATTCGAACCCGCGTCCTCTACGGTTACGATGCTGCCCCCTTTTACCTTTTTCCTGGTCATGTACAATGATGACCCTGTCTATCACGCTGATGCTGGCTACTGTACTAGTTCGGTCTTTGTGATGTCTGCTGATTGTTGATGCTGCCTCCGAAGCGGTGCTGGATGATAATCGTTACCTTGACCCCACCTTCACATGCTTCAGTCTAACCTTTCTTCGGCAACAACGTAACCGCCTTGGCCATGTCAGGGAGATCTCATGCTCACCCTCATTGAAGTGCTCGGTCCAGAGCTTGACAAGAAGGCCACGGTGATCTACCGGCACAACGTCATGGGGATAGTCGAGGGCGCAATCAAGACCAGCGCCATCCTGCAGGACGAAGCGGAAGACGTTGCTAGGATCGGAGTCAAGATTTTCGGCGGTTCGGAGTCTGATACGTGAGCGATGGCCCGGGGCCGCGGCGTGACGATTTAGCCGTTGGCGATAGCGTTGACCTCAAGTATAATGCACTTCTAAATTTCTTGCCATGCTACATGTTCCCCTCCGGAGTAGCTGGAAACTGGACATTGGACACTGGACCTACTGTTCTTCGCAGTGTGTTCGACGGGAGAGGCGATCTTGGAGTAGGTTTGATTCGCGTGCTCCGGCATCTTTACCATACCTCGTCCTTCTGTCTTCTAAGTGTTTCGACATCATGATCCTATCAGCCAACCCGCAGGGGGGCGCAGCATACAACTATCGGAATATTGCCTTGGGCCACACAAGATGACGCACCCCCATGAGATAGCACGCACCACACACGATAACACCATACCCGGTGGAGGTGTGTTTTCGGGTCAACATTAGCCCAAAACATGAAACCACTCCTCAGATCAAGTACTAGGGTGACACAAGATACCACACACCCCGCATCGTGCATCTCTTGTCGTTGATGACCACCTTGTCATAACTGTTTCGCGACTACTCCTGTATTCGGCCCGTTGAACCGTGTGTGTTACGACGTCGTTCGTGTGGTAATGCCTCTCTCTCTTTCTCTCTCCCTCTCTCTCCCTCTCTCTTCCTCTCTCTCTCAGTGGGTAGGATGTGTTTTCACTCGAGTACGACGTGGGCGCTCCCATCTCGACCGTGGTTACGAAACAGGTAAGAAGCAAGCACGTTGTTGAGAGCTGGTTTACCGTTTTCCTCAATAGATATGTACCTCCAAGAGTGTTACCGTGTAAAACTACCGACGTGATGATAGTACGTGCGCCGGGTTTTGATGAGTGTATTGTTTTCCAATCATAGCATGAATTGGACTTTCCAGGAAACGCTCTTCTTGGGGCCCAATGGGCGTTCACAAGGTGATGGAAGGCCTTTACAAGGTTAGTGTATACCTCTCGGTGTCGTCGTAAGCGTTGTACAGTCACCGTTCTCGCAAAGAAAGACAACGTGGGTGTTTTGGGGGCGTTTTCGGCGTTTTTCTGACGAATTGGGCCTCGGGGGCGAAGTAAGCGTTGTGCATGCTGTTGCGGCAATTACTGTGAGGGTCACTCTATAGTAGGTTGTCGAAATTGCCTTAGGGACTGCCGCTTCCAGCAAGCGACGTGAGCTTGCTCCCCAATCTGAGACTTTTGTTGTCATCTTGTTACCTCGTAACCCTTGCCCTCTCTTCATTCCTTCCTTCCAGGTAAAGGTTGTCCGAGAAGTTACTGTCCTTGGAGGACGCCGAGTGGTTCTTGACCTTGAACAAACCCGGCATTGAGGACGTGTACTCGATGGGCCAGACCATGGGCATTTCGATCCGAGGGGACGGCAACTGTTTTTGGATATGCTGCTCCCTTGCGGCGCTGCTCTGGGCATCGTGCCAGGACCGCCCACACCACGTCGAAGGCATTCTCACCCGTTACAGGGCTTTTGGCCGGTGTAGCCGTGCGTACCACGCGCTGCGCTGGAAATGAAGGTGTGCTCTGAATCTTATCACCGTAAACATGAAATTGCGAATAGGTGGGCCCGTTGGGCTGTTCGCCGAGCGTACTATTCAGCTCTATCTTAGCTCCGTCTAACTTGTTTCAGCTAAATGGAAGTCTGACTTAGTATCGTCCTTGCAGAGCATTGGGGCAAGCGACGGCAACATCGTTCAATGTACCTTGTCATGAACGACGGGCTGCTTTTGAATTGTGACATTAATCGTTGACATCGGGTTTCGTAATGTGGAACAGCAGTTGTACGCGTCTTGAGGTAGCTGGTTGTGACGTTTGTTACCAGTCTCCTGCGTAGCGTGTAGGCGGGTGTTGTTCGCATTTTGACCTACCTCCGCACACTACTCTTGTGTCCGATGCATAGTACATGAACCGCCGTCACGGGTCTACTCAGTAGTCGCTTGCAACAGATTGATGTCACTGAAAAAATAATACTTTCTCATGTGGATGGTATGATGTTTGGTTGACGTGGGAATGGCGACGTACGTCCTCACGAGGGAAGAAGTTGGTACTAAATAGCATTGCGTTCCCAGTTTCTCGCACTTGCTGCCAAAAGTGAGCGAATCCATTACCTCCCGAAATACGTGGTTCTTCGGTCGGACAGGTGATACTAGGTTGGCACCATTATGTAGGTGGGACGCCAACCCGTTGGTGCGAGCGATTTCCCGCGTCGCCTTTGGGTTCGGCAACGAGCACGCATGACAGGCAGTGGACCCTTTCCTTCATCATAAATATCCTGCAAACACCACCGAGAGTGATAAAACGTCTCTACGTCATCTCAAACCGGTAAACGATGCAGGTCTTGCTACACAAGTTTCCCTGGTATGTTGTCAAACATTTGTATCATCCTTTTCGTTTCTTTTCCCTCCGTCGTTAACCCCTCGAAGGAGAACATGAACACGTTCGTTTCCTTCGTGGAGGTGCTTTTCTTGCCTTCGAGACGACGGACATCTCCAACCAGGATCTGGTTGGTACCCTTGTACGCCATATCTCTCGGAACCATTCGAGCGGAGGCAAGGAAGGCACTCTCCACGCAGACTTGTTCAAGGGCATGGTCCTGGCGACCAGAATCGCAGCCACGGTCTTTAAGACGCCGTCAGCCAAGCCCGAAGTCTTGGTGAGTGAGGAACACGGTCCCGGTTATTTATCTTTTTGATGTTGTCCAGTCGTTGTCTTTTCGTTGGAGATACTGTCGCAGACCTTGCACGATATGTCACGATGTTTACAGTTTGCAACCCTCTAAACACTAGGTAATTCCGAGCAGGAGCGCTTTGGAGAGGGGTTGGTTCGTGGTCGCTGAACAACATGTTTCTCACCACGACCGCAAAGCAACAAATGTCTTGGGAGTGATGTGGGAAACTCTGGCAAGCAGGCGGCAGTCCCGATCATCTGATTTCAATGCCGGCTCGAATAGCTTTATCGAAGGACAACTGCACCCACTAGTCTTGGTCCTCGGTCTGTTGCCACGATTCTGTAATACCTGCAATGTTCCATCCCTAGATTGTTCTGTATCTCGAACCCCGGGACACAGGCAAAGAGTTTGCCTGCCCATTTTCCAGCATGGTGGCTATCTATTTTTGTCCGAAACGCACAACCCATTTTGCGATTTTCCAATCACTGGTAGATAACGCACAAATCAACCTTGGTGCTCATACACTTAGACCTAGTCTTTGCTGGCACGAACACGCATGCTGTAATGGTTTCCCGCATCATGTCCTCATGAGGGCCGTGGGTGAACTCCTTTGGAACACAACCCGGAATCACACCTCGACACTTCTGTGGGGGGGGACGAAGAGGCCCAAACAACTGAGAGTGTATTGCACTACTGCATTAGAAGCGCTGCCACTGCTGTCATCCTTGCACTTCATGCCAATGTCTGGAGACCGGAGAAGTTGGGCAGATCGAATGCTAATGCTTGAACACCCGTATCCTCGGATCCTTAAAAAACACGTACCACTGTTCGTAAATACCACTTTTTTCCTAGATTGGTTTCGCCACGGTGTCCACCTACACCGAAGGTGACGTGTTCGACCTGAGGCCTTGCGAATTTCGGGGGGTTCGCGTCGACATCGTGGTATATTACTGAGACCCCGACGGCGACCTCCACACAAACGTGGGTGCGTGTCTGTCGAAAGGGTTGGTTACAACGTATCCCTTTCGTGATTCTTACAGCATCCGAAAAGAAGGGTTGCAATCTAAAATAGCACCCATTGTCGCCGTATCGTAGCTATCACACCCGATATTCTCTATTTAGTCACCTTCGGACAACGCACAACCACAGCCGATATTTTTATCAAGGACTAAGAGTACTGAAACCTGCACGGTGACCGTCACACTTTTCGCATAGCTAATCCGTCGCTCACCCCCCACACGTGCTCCCCGTAAAGCTGTGCGTTTGCTCAGCCTCCTTGGAGGTCGTTGTCTCAGTCAAAATCGATCTTGATGTGTATTCGCCTACCTTTCGTCTTTCAGCGGTGCAACGACGAAGAAAGGGAGGAATTAATGTGGTTGTCATGGACCTATTTCGACCCACCTTCCCCTACTGGCCAAGGGCATCGCTCTTCGGAAGGGTGCTTTGGGACACTTTGATCTACGGATCGAAGCTTGCTCCAGCGTCGTCGGCACCGCCCTTGCTATTAATAGCGCTTTGAAGGTCCAGCAGCTTACGGACGAGGACGGCTCAACCGAGCGCTACCGGCGCTTGAAGGTGGAGATTATGTCCCAGGTAGAGTTGACGTTGCTCTCAACCATTTTAGCTTTGCTTTCTCCACCCCCTGCAACATGTAACGTAGTGAAGGGCAAGCCCGGGTGCCGCCACTGCTCTCTAGCGTTCGCTTACGTGCGTAAGCCATCCACGTTCTTGGCGGATTCCCCCCCCTCCGATGGTAGTAGCAACTCAAACCCGGGTCACGTTACCGTCGAACTGCACTCATACAGATACTATGACACAGATTGGCATTTCTCCTAGAGGGTGCCCAGCGTGCTCGATGCACATCCCGCAGTCGGCGGTGGAATGCGTAATGTGTGGAGGCGCAGTGCCGGCCGGTTTCGTGTACGCTCCGAATCCGTGAGTGTTGCGGACCCGGCAGAGGAGATGGAGGTGGTGGCGATAGCAACGCCCAAGGGGGGGGGGTTGGAATCCGGCAGCGGGGGTGGCCGAGGTAGTGCCAGCCAGAGCCTCAGCGAACGACTCCGGGGCGCGATACCTCCACTTCCCAGGGGCGCGGGTCTCGGCCGGGTGAGCGAGGAGCAGATGAAGAGGGACTAACTCTCCAGCGTGCGCAACGACACCAACCTATCTCGAGGAAGAATTGCAGCGGGGACAAGGGTGGAAAAACTCCCACGTGGTGGCGTTATACCGCGCGCAACAAGAACGGTGGTCTTGGGCCTCAGGGAATGGCCATCGAACAGCGCTGCAAGCAGCTGTAGAGCGAGTACGGGCTGTCATGGCGCATTTTCGTCAAGCTGATGAACCACAACGAGGAGAAAAACTTGCCGTAATGGCGGGGGATATCACAGGGGAGGAGGGACTGACGGGGCGTGACGACGGGGAGGAGTATTTCCACGCTAAAAAAAAAAAATGGAATGTTGACACCACAGGATGGAGAAAGTAGTTCTTTGTACGGCAGTGTAGTTCGTGTCACCACAGCGATATTTTTATCTCTGGATAGAAGCATCCCACAACCACCTCACGTGCATCCCAGAGAGCACAGTTGGTGGAGATGGCAGCATCGAAGGTTTGGCCTCGATGTGTCAACTACGGAGCTACAGATGTGAACGCGCACGCTTGTCCGCTCCAAGTTGGAGAATGTGCGTGTGCTCGCTCTATTGACGACGCCCATAGACAAGCCAGGGTATGGTTTGTTTTCCCGTGTTTTGATCGGTGCTCTCCGCTTTCAGCGCCCGTGGCGGGTGGGTGTGTTACCCTCACGAAAGTGCCACGTGCACATTTCATAGCGTTGTGGACGGCAAGGTTGACGAACCCTTGTTCGTAATCTCGCCGCGTCCCCAAGATTTGCGGCTCCCTGTGGTCGGTGCTCCCAATAGAACGACGGATATTGGATCTTGGATCTTGGGCCAAAGATTCGTTGGAAAGGTTCAACGGACAGTCGAAAGTCGAAGGGCAACTTCATTTTTTTTTATTTCGGTCAAGATCTGATGGAAGATTTTGTGACCGTTAAAATTCCTTTTTTTATTACCTATTCCTTAATTAAATGTTCCAACACATGCCAAACGTTTTGCAATTTCAAATCCCAATCCGGCGGAGTCTGGGGGTTCTTCTTTGCTACCGCCGTATCTTGGTTCGCGTTGGATTGTTGGATAATATTTTTCGTTTGTCATGTCATCTTGCCGGTCGACAGCTAGCTGTGGCGCTGTCCTTGAAAAGCTGAGCTTTTTCGGCGAAGGTAAAGGGAAGGAAGGGCTGTGAAGGTCGGGATATTATGGTATATCCATGCGGCACACACAGGCACACACTACATCCAAGAGTGCAGCACGTCTTTGTGTGTGTGTTCCTTCGTTTGTGTTCTCAAAATTATTTGCATCCAGCGCGGGAAGGTGCAAAAAAAAAGATCTGTCTCTCTTACATCGGCCATGTCAGGTACTGACACTATTGGGATCCCACGTGGGACGTCCCATGGGACACGTGGGCCGGCCCATGGGACACGCGGGCCATCCCATGGGACAGGTGGGACATCCCACCTGTCCCGTGGGATGGCCCATACGGACGCACGGGACACGTGGGACGTCCCATGGGACACCAAATCTAGAACGTGGGACGCGTGGGACGCCCCATGGCACCACGCTAGGGACGTCCCATGCGGCGCTCGAAAACAGGCGTGGGACGTCCCAGCCGGTCTCCCCTACGGTGTCCCACTGTGCTGTCCCACAGGCGTTTATAATAATTAGATATTATATGTATTTATCAGCTAATTTTAGTGCAAGATAAGAGAATACCCGAACACAATGCATGAAACCGAGTTTGAATGTTAACGCTAACTTTCGAACTCACTCGTTTTGTTGGAACAGGGATGTGGGCGTGCAATGGAGTAGTGTTTACACATTGATAGTAGATCTGTACGCAGTTTCGGCCGCTGATTGGCCGAGCCTTCTGGTGGGGGGACGGCAGCTCGGGCACGGTTCACAGTTCTCCAGTTCTCTCCAGCGCTCTCTCTCGAGATGGTTCTGCTTCTTTAGGTCTGGCAGTCACCTTCATGCGGAGTAATGCATGTGCATGTGGTCTGGCAGTGGTACAGGGTACAACAGCGGGCGGTCTCGTTGAAGGAGGCCTCGCACAGGTAGTTCCGCACAGGTGCCAGCCAAAGGATAATCAGCACCAGCTCAGGATAGTTGTGCTGACCGAGGTGAGGTATCCAATGCGTGTCTACATATCCTGCTGTAGGCGTTGTGTTGTTGATGAAAACCACCAACGGTCAAACAAGAAGAGCACCTACTGCCGTAGCGGCCTAGCGGTGTTCTGAGCAGCTCATGTCATGTATGCAATGCTAACGAGCTGAGCGCTCCTGCTGTAACAACACGTGCCAGCCGAGCAGATAACCGCTCATGATTGTTAGATGTAGCGGCGGCTGATGTACTCTCTCTCTTTTTCTCTCTCTTTCTCTCTCTCTGTATCTGTCTACCTCTCTTCGTCTGCCTGTCTGACTCTCTCTCTGTCTGTCTCTCTCTCTTGTCTCTCTCTCCCTGTCTCGCTCAGCTCCCCTCCCTCCCCAACAGATCGCCGGTGTGTTGGTACCTCTATGTAGCTCGCGTGGCTGACGACGCAACTGCTCATGAACATACCGCACATGACTCAAGATAACACACCCCCTGGACCAAATGTCAAAGCTCGATTGTTCAAAAGCAGCAACAGCAGTCGCATGGCCGAAAACGGCGGCGTTGAAGCTGTCCGGTTGAGAGCTCTCTGAAGACGTACCCTTTCGTCTATGCGTCCTCTTCGTGGAGTGTGTTATCTTGTGTCAATTCGGTAAAATGTTATACTAGTAGGCAAAAAGAATGAGAGCATTCCTCTCTCCGACGACACGACCGCAACCTGCTGCACCTGCTGGTGGTCGTCGGTTGGTAGCCTTTAAATGCTTCACAACTACAACTGTAAGCCGTATAACAATAAGAGTCCCATGCATCTTTATCTTTTCGTTTGCGTGAAAACATTTTGCTTATTTTGTTATTTTTTTGCACACAACTGCTGTTAGGATGAACGGAGGCGGGTGGCAGCTCGTACTGCCACGCGGCCGGAGGAAGCCAACGACGGCAGAGACGGTGCGATTCGCTTTTTCTCCCGGTCGACTTGCCATTCAATAAACCGCTAGCCTGCCAAGAAACGAGTGACTATTGTCTTTTTTGAGGACGCAATCATGAAAGAGCGTTGCACGACTGCTGTGTAGCAGAAACATGGCAGCATGCCAACCCTTGTACAGCTGTGTTGCAGGAGCACGAAACGGACCCTTTCCCATCGACAGATTACCAATACCAACCAGTTTAAAAATCTCTTTTCTCAATGCTCAGGTTGATGATAACCATGCCACTGCGTTCGAGACCCCGGAGGTTATGGCCGACGGAAAGGCGTTGGAGATGCTGTCTCAACTTCGCCGTATATTGCGCGACATTTTGATGCAACGGCGGGCAGTTGGTGAAGGTCGCGCCAAAAATGCTCAGGCTGAACTCGTGGCGTTGACTGAAGAATGCACATTGCACCTCGTGCTTGGCGTCAAGCCGGGGTGCGTGCTTCCGGCGCAGGCAAAGAAGGTATGTTGAGTGCATTGCACCCGTGTTGGATGTTTTGGTATCGTCTGATGTCGAGCAATCAGCATACTGCTGCAGGCCGCACTCATACACTCAAACACCACGGGCTTTTGGCTTCTCGAATTTGAAGTCCTTTGTAGAACATTCTACAGCTTTGCACGACCACAAAAATGTTGTTTCATTACATAGTGCGGTAACTCTCTAGATGGGCATTGAGTTCCGCGAAGGGCATTGGATCCAATATCCAAGGGTGCACACCAGTCATCCCGCCCACGTAGGTACCCCGGGAGGGTCGAACAAAATTATCGTTTTTTCCTATTGTGGGGCCAAGGGGTTAGAGCACACTCCACGCCAAGCTTGTTGTGGGGGACTCATCGTGCGCTAGGGTTAGGGTTGACGTTTCACTCATACTTAGAGCGGGTTGGAGCTGGCGGGTTGGAGGCTCTCTTGATGTACGCACCCGTTTCGTGTGATCATGGCCTTGGGGTTCGCAAGAGAGATCTGTACAGCTCGCGCATGGGGTACCCGGACAAATAGTCAACCGGTTCCCCCTCCTACCGCCCAAAACATCCCAAAGCAGAACTTGGGTACACTGGTATCGAAGACAGTCTCATTTTTTGGGCATCCTTGCAATTTCCCCCAAAAAAATGGAGTAATTTACAAATGATATTGCTCTAATGGTGGAGGCCGACATTTGGGTGATCTCAAGTCGATATTGTTGCCTCAATAGCACGTCATAACAGCATATCGCCTCCTCTTGTTTGCTTTGTTCGTTCTTAAACCTGTTCCATACTATGGAGGGCGGACGCCGTATCGACGAACTTGCCACTATGGTGCTATCGAAGGTGTTACGCACGTCTTTTGAGGCTCGCCACGTTGAGCCGGATGGCAACTGCTGGTGGAGGTATTTGTCGTTGAGCTTCTTCGGCAGCGATTGCTTCTGGCTGCAGCTGTAGCTTGTTTCGCTGGTCCATGCGGCTGCAAACGTAGACCAGATATCTCTGCTCGTCCCTGAAGGCAAGATAGACCACGACATATTTGTTGAGCACTCGCAAGATGCCTACGTGGTGTACGGCGACGGAAGCATGAAATTCGTACAAGCCAACATTTGCAGAGACAAGATGGTCATGGCTTCGATCGCAAGACTGTGCAAGCCCGGGGCTTTTGCGGGTGCCGTAGCATGGGTTGCGGTTTCCGAGGCATTGGGCGTTCCGGTGAACGTGATTCACCCCATGGACATTAGGGCGAGGAAGAGGATGGACTTGAAGC